CATTTCACAAATAAAATTTAATTAAAAAAAATAATAAAAATTATATACTTTTATAATGTGCAAAATAAATAACAAATAATTCAATGTTACTAACATTCGATATTATGTTGTAATAATTTTTTTACTATTTGTAAAGAGATGTTATATATTCATATGCACTGTATTTAGTTAACTCTTTATATGTATTTAGTTAACTCCTCTGGCTTATATTGCCGGCAAACTTTTTCTTCTATAGAAACATTTTTTTATTTTGTTCGGTTAACAATCTCATTATACTTGATTAAAAGACAAAATAAAAGATGAAAATAAAGCGTTGAAAATTCTGCTGTCGATAACAAATGCGGACGACGATATTAGAAAAGGTGTCGGTACTGTTATCTCATGGAATCACGTTCATCTTGAGATAGAACGAAGCTGCTTTTAATCAACAACGAAAGAGAAATAAATGCAAAGAGAAAGAAATAAATGCAAAGAGAAAGTGTAACAACGAACATTGTACAGAAAGCAACATATATATCAGCTGTGATTAAAAACAGAGTCGTTATTACACTGTTCTTCAAGTATAATGATCGAACTCTTAAAAAATATACTAAATATTCCAATGCTTAAAAAATAATATAGTAGGAAAGAAACATTAATAATGCAACTGCTTAAGATATTTGGAAACTGAATTTAAAAATTTCTAAATCGTATTTTGATATACTTATAATTACTTCCAGCTTGCATCTTCTTCGTTGCACGTTATTAATGTTCCTTTACGCTCTACTTCATAACAGCTCTACGTTACTATACGTACTCGAACGTACGAAGATTCGCAAATCCAGTTGTCTCACGGGATGCACTTCTTTTTTCTTGTTCTATTTTTTCGTGGCAACAATAGCGAATGGTAACGAATCACACGCAAATCCACGGCAAAATTATGGAAATGAATAGCGGAGCATATTTCCATACAAATTGGTCCCCACGATCCTCAACTAGATTATTCTATTTTTTCTGCAACATGACGCCAGACGTCGTAACACGTCATTCGTCAGAATGATTCAATGGTAAAAAAATTATACATTGGCATGACGTTTGACACATAGTAGCACAGTGATTTTTGTAAAACTGCAAAAAACAGCCGGTTATCGTATTTTGTTGAAAATTGCAAGTGACATCAAGCCGTAATGAAAGAACCATGATAGTCAAATAGAGGATTATTTACTTACAAGTTTGCGTGACTGTAATTAAATGGCGCAGAAGCCACAGAAACCGGTAATTCGATCGTCTTGAAACTTCCACGATCTTTATTGCTAGAATGACGGAGAAACTTAGATAATTTTCGAATTGATGCAGATTAGGTGGATTGCGGTAAGACAAGTCAAACAAGTATTATATATCGACCATTTACGCTGCCTCAGCGGGCGTATAAAGACGGATTAGGAGAGGCAATGTATTCCCTAATCGGCGTAGATAAAAGCACGTACGCGTTCGTCTTCGTATTCAATTTATCCAAGTTTTTCCATCTTGATCGCAAATATTGGATAACAGTAAATCGAAATGGCTATGAAAAGGAAAATAATAAGCACATATATGCACCAAATAGCATTTTACAATATATATGTTGAACTAATACATATTTTTCAACAAAATAATATTTAGCTATTCAGAATCATTGTATAAGCTATTGTTTCATTTGAATTGCGACACAAACTATTATTCATAAAAACAAAAATATGATTTTTTTACGATACATGCATGCGTATTTAAATTCTTTCAAAGTAAAATTTTAAAAAACAGTAACAAAATTTTTGATATTTTATTAACATGAATGTTCATAGTTTATATAAATTCTCTCTTTCTCTCTCTCTCTCTCTCGCTCTCTCTCTCTACATATTAAAAAATGGAAAATTTATTAACTTTTGACACAGAAAATAGATAATATTGATATTCATTGATAGACCAAGAACAATGTTCTTCATTATTTGTTTTGGTTGCAAAACCATATATTTCTCTTTTATCAATCTGGAACCCTCTCTAGCGCTCGATAAAAGTATCCCAAACCAGGCTAGGTATTACTGTACTACTGGCTACAATTATCAGCTGGAACATGCCGTTAACGAGGAAAGCCTTTCAAAGGCAACACAGAGTTTCGATTAAACTTTGTAGGCGCTCCCACAAAAGAAAGATATGTATGTATTTTTCTCGATACGTTAAGAAACTTATTTACTATTTCATTTTAATGAAAGAGTTGAAAAGTCCTTCCTCTAACTTTTCATCTGCAACAAATTTCAAACAGTATTTTTGGCATCTTTTTATCTTATAAATATTTTTACGTAATATAAAATAAATCGATGATGAATATCTTTATATAAATAAAAAGAAAAAATTATTTGTACTTAAATATTTGATATTATTAAATCTTGATAGTATTTATTAAATATATATTTATATACTTCTATGTACAGACTAATTGATAATTTAATTTTTACATTGCAAATTTCTTAATTTTGCCAAAAGATTAAAAGATGCAATAAAATTTTCTAATATACTTCATTTCTTATTGTATCATTTGGTGGACGAACAAATGAGATTGCTCTTTCAGCGACGCGGGAACGTGCAACATAAAGTCGGTCGTAGTTACAGTTTATGTGACACGTTTAACTGCAAGCTCTTGCAAAAGTATCATTTCATATCACGTATACTTGTAATATTTTATCGAGATGAAGAAGAAATATTGGATTACGTTGAGAAAATTTCGTTTTTGGCAAAATAAATAAAAATTCGAAATTCTTTATAAAATATGTGATTAATAAAAATGTCAAATATAAAATACGTTATGTTTTGTAGTCAGTCAGGACATCATAATGGATTAAATCAATTTTCGTTCGTAAATATTTGTACTACATGGCTAATATCAAGTTTTGAACCTAGACCAAAGATAGACGCGTGTCTTCTTGCAAAGTATGTAATCTGGATTTCAGCCAAGCCGAGAATCGTGATGCACATTGTTTATTCAACATATATCCTGCGTATATATAAGCTCTCTCTATTTAATTCCTTAGGATAGAATTAGAAATGTTCTAATCTTTAATAAACACATTTAATTTATGATATATAATTTATGATATATTATGAAAATACGAAATGTAAACAAGAAAATGTAATAACCTTTAATTACGTAAACATCGTATATACGTTAATAATATCATATCGTGCAAAGGTGCAAGTTACTTTAAATCTTAATCGGATTTCTTAATTGCAAAGAGATTCATAGCTCAAAAGTAACGTAGAAGGAACCAAGGAGACTTCATCTCGATTAAAATGAGAAATGACTCAAAGTGATTTAGCGATGTAATTGCAACCGACTCGTTAGCATTGGTTGATGCGGGGTCCCGCGTACAGATCCCTTTCAGCTGAACGGTGCAGTGGAATGCATCGAAATTAGAGAACCGCATCGTCCGCAGGCAATAGATAGTAGCGCATAGTTGTGGATCCACATGAACACCGTATTCAAATTAAATTACAAATACCGTATTGAAATCGCATTAGAAATAACGACAACAAAGATTATCTATCAGAGTGAACACGGTGCACGCCATACCAAGCTGATCATTTATTTATTAAAACTGATAATAATGAAGAAACAGAGAAATAGTCCTCTTCTTTTGAAGACAAACTTTTAATATATTGTAATTTAAAAGACCAATATAAAAGACGTATTTTTTTATACATACGCATTTTTAGAGCGTGAAACATCCAATCGAATAATTTCTCTTGAAGCGAATATCGTCAAAATTATAAAAGATAAAAAAAGTCTTTTTTTTTAAATTTAATAATTTTAAAATTACTTTATAATAAAGAAATTCTTTAATAAAAAAAATTGTATTCATGAAACTAAAAAATTAAATCAATCTTTTTTATAATTACTATAAAGTACTTTTAAAACCACTCAACTTTTATTTAAAAACTTTTTCCCTCTTTTATAGTTTTGGTATAAAACGATATTCACTTACAAAAAAAATAACTGATTTTCTTCAAAGAGGAGTTTCATCCCGTAAAAGTGCATATATGAGCACATATAAAAAAATATGTGTCTCTTTTAGTTTGGTCTAGACTACAAGATATTAAGGATGTAGTAGACATATGGTCCCTAAAAAGAAAATTAAATTTGGAAGTATGTTTAATATTTACACTTTAGATAAATTATATACATATGAAAGTTGTATGAATAAGATTATATTTTTATTTAATAATATATATTTAATAACATTTTTGTAGTTCATTAATTTTATTTGTTATTATTTTTATTGTTAAAAATTAAAATTTTAAAAATAATAAAAAAATATACATTTTTCTTTTATAAGTACTTTTATAAGTACTTTAAATATTCAAAATAATTTATGCGAAGTTTTATTGCGATTCACTGATTAGTTATAAAGATATGGAACAAATAAATATTTTGTTTATTTACTGGACAGCTAGTTTATGCAATGTAACTCTACGTAAATAATCTTGAATACATAATGTACTTATATTTAAAAATTGAGATTTTAATCATTTATTTTATAATAAATTTCTATATATTTTTATTAGAGCATAGATTTAAAAAATACAACTATTTATTAAAATAATTTATCATTCAGATAGTAAACCGTCATCAAATTTGTTGTATTATTTTTAAACGTGATTTAGAATAATCTGTAATTTTTTTCGTAATTTTGTTATCATTTTGAAAATATGTATAAAACATTAAAACCTTGAAAACTTATTAAAATTGAAGAGAGAAAGAGAGAGACACTTCTTTATGCTTTCCTTAAATCAAAGCAAATCGCGCGCGCGCGCGCGCGTGTGTGTGTGTGTGTGTGTGTGTATTTTAAATATAAACTGCATAATCGAAAACAATAATAAATAAACATAATTTTGTACTGGCTGCGTAAATTCTTTCAAATAAATTAATAAATATAAATAATATAATGAAGTATTTTGTTTTTTTTTCAGGATTTGGCAATGATTAATGAGACGAAGAGGTGATGTAATGTGGCGAAACTTTGATTGGACGGCCATTCTGGCCATGTGGACGATATTCCTGATTTTGAACAACGGCTTAACTGGTGAACAGGTTCTCAATAATCCACAAAACAACAATGAAGACTCTTCTTATAAAGTTCATCATGAAGAAACGTATCACGTTTTTTATAAGAACGTTGATGATGATTCGAGGTTACGATACGCGAGAGAGAATTTTAAATCAAATGATCGTTCACCAATGCATGTAAAAGCAATTTCTCTGGAATTCAAAAATACGGAAAATCGCGATTCGCGACTCAGTGAATATGAAAAGCACATCACGATGTCAAATGCAATGACGACAACGAAGTACTTGAAAGACGACAAACGTGCGCGACTGATTACAAAAAGAGCACCAACAGAAAACATATGGTTGTCAAAAGTTATCGATATGAAAAAGTCACAAAATGCAAGAAATGATCTTAAATTCATCTCTAGCCTACGCCCATTGCCAACGTTTCGAGAATCGAAAAGTACCTCAAAATGGAGAAGACGTAAGAAAAGAATTATCAATGTGTTCTTGAACGATCATAAAAAGGTAGAAATGATAAGACCCGATACTCAGGCGTTGGATAAGAAAGATGGACAATGGAAAAAGCACGAGACGGATCAAGTCTTCAGTGAAGAAAACGGAATGACCGCATTCTTTCCAGACAAATTCACAAAGAGTCCGCGTAGCGAGAAAGATACCTTTCAACAAAAGTTTAAAAATTTCGATATCTCGCAACTCGATACTATGAAAAATATCGATTCCAAATATACCAATGAAAAACACAAACACAATAGAGATGAAAGAGGTTCCTGCCAAAGTCTCAAGCAGACAAAAAACAACACGAATAAAGTGATTTACATTAAAGCCAATGGCGAGTCTCAAAGAATAGATCCAACTTTTTCAAATTACTTACGTTCAAAGGAAGATCGGAGTCGTGGGAGTGAAACTATTATAACTACCACAGATAACGCGATCATAGAAAATTCATTCTACGATCATTCCGTACCTGTCACTAGAACTACATTAATCTTTAGCTCCGAAATCTCGAACATAAATAGAGAAGTTGGTGATGAAGAAAACACCGTAAGTCCGTATTACTCTTCGGAGGACGAATATTCGAAATCGCATAAAACGGATAAGTTTCTAGCAACCAAAACGTACAAACGCAACGAATATTCAAAGATAGGATTTAAAGTAAGTACAGATACACATAGGAACAAGAAAGAAAATAGGAATATCGATTTGTTCACTTTTCACATATTAAATTCGCTCGACAACCATTTTACTAGAAAAAGAATCAGCTTTACGAGACGTCCCTTTGTATATAAGAAAAGGAATTTATTAAAAGCAAATGATATATCTGATTCGCAATATCAATATCATTATTCAAAAAGTAATAATAATGTGAGAATAAATAGAAAAATAGCGAATCTTAGCAAAATGCATATAAGAAAAAAAACCGAAGAAGAGAAGATTACTGCCGCTGCAAACTACGCGACGCACAACATGCATAAATTCGAACGTAATTTGTTACCAACTAATTTATATACCAAGAAAAATGACAAATCCGACTTAAGTTATCAGATACCAACGCGTATTTCAGTCACGCAGAAAAGGAATCCAACGCACGTACGATACATCGAATCCGACGCGAACTGTGAGTCGCGGACAACAGAGTTCGAAACCGAAGTTCGTGACGCATTTCGAATTAACCTCTGGAATGTCTCCGATCCATCGAGGATCGCAAAATTCAGCAGCCTCCCCGGGAAAGCTCATGAACGCCCGAAATACTCGAGGAAATTTCACGCAATCAATATCAGCACACAGCCTCCACATATCGCTAAGACAACTGATGGAGGATCAGAACTCGACGAAGAGCCTCGAAGAACTTCAACCGAGAGCGAATCTATCTTTTTCGGTGCAACGAATGTCAGCGATAATTCGACCGGGATGCAGAAGATTAATGGGCATGTGCAGTCATCGAGCGAACTTACGGATGAGTCCGGATTAGAAAATGTCAGAGTTACGACGAGACGAGGTAAAAATCATCATGACACGCATGAAGAATCTGGATTTTATTCACGAAGCGGCGGTGTCCATAACTCAAAGAATCGACGATATAAACGTCATGAAGATCGGAATACTCCAGGGATCTCGACATTAACCAAATTCGACAGTGAGACGTGGAAGATACCCGATACGGCAAGGGCAACAGTAACATCGAAATCGCTAATCGAATTTACTATGAATCCATCCATTTCGACGATTCAAACAAATAACAAATATCAAACATCAACTGACACGAAAAAAGTTCTTACATCTATGGAAACACTGCCGCATACTTCGAAATATAAAGAGTTCCAGAAAGAGTGGCAATCAATCTCATTGACGACCGATCGCGACGAAAGATACACAAACACTCCGACAACAATGGGTTCTGATGCTTCTGATTCATTAAAGATATCATTGATAGATACTCCGAAAACGTTAAATGTCAGTTTGGTAAATACGCAATTCCAAATCAAAGCGCTCGATCGATCGAGCGTGATAACCAAAATAGGCAATTCTATTATTCCGAAAGAGGTTCCTTCATCTACGGAATCAAATGTATCCGACGCTACAAACAAGAACCTCTTCGATGTGTCTTCGACCGAGCTCATTAATTCGCAAGAGGAACACGGTAATGAATCCGTTTGGACCATTGACCCACTTCGTCAAAGGAATAGTAATCCTTCTCAAGGTGTCTCCGAGAACATTACTATGGAGAACATCGTCGACTCATCGGCCGGTGACGTGCACTCAGATCAGTGGCCTGTAAAACATAGCGCGGTGGTGGAAGGTGATCTTGTCCTCGGGGGACTAATGATGGTGCACGAAAGGGAAGATACAATTACATGCGGACGTGTAATGTCTCAGGGTGGAGTTCAGGCTCTGGAAGCCATGCTGTATACGCTGGATGCTCTCAATGATCGGGAGATTGTGCCTGGAGTCAAGATCGGGGCGCATATACTCGATGACTGTGACAAGGACACGTACGGTCTTGAGATGGCAGTGGATTTCATTAAAGGTACGTACGTGGTACAATCGTGAAATATGATGATAATGCACTTTCTTACATATGTTGCACGTATCTAGTATCGTACATTTCAGACAGCGAATTTTTATCTTGCAATTCGTATCTAATGCTATTTTTCTCTCATATTAAATTAGTTCAGGAAATATGATATTAAACCTAATGTACGAATCGTGTATACACACTCTTCTTTAATAATATTATATCGTTTTCTTTTTCCTTACATTTAAAAAATTGCTTTTTTTCTTGATTTCTTGATTTAACTTTAAAAACACAAACATCTTAATTCTTTCATATTTTATATTAAAACTAAACGTAAGCGTGGAATTTTGTTTTCTTGTGCAAAATTGAGTATGATTTCACGTATTTCTCCTAAGAAAATTTCTCATTTACCACTGTCATTGAAAGCACTATGATGCCGCAGGCCTATAATATCTCTAGAGATTTGGAAAATTACGTTAGCGAAATCACGCCATGTAATTTCTAGTGAAATGAACTTATTTCGTTATCGCCTTGATGCAGCACAATGATTGGATACACTCAAGGCGAAAAGCATATGTGCACATATTAGATGTTGGAATTAATTCGTAGCGTTTTTTAATGAAAGAATGTTATTTATTTCACATGAGCATTAAAAAATACATTAATGAAAGTACTTCCCATCACTTGTAAAACGCTACGAATTAATTCCAACACCTAATATGTATACCAACAATGTCATTGCTAGTCTTCTTACACTAGATAGAGAAATTTACATTTATGCGATAAAGAACATAGGCAAATTGCTTTTAAATTTGTTTTCTAATTTTTAAATTCACACGAATAATGCATGTTGATTGCCATTAATTTTGTTTATTTTAATGTTTCAATATTTGTTTTCTATATCTATTCAAGAAAAGTATAAAATTTCTCACCAGAAAATCGTGATTCAAAATTTTCTATAAATAGTAAATATACTTTCATTAATTTAATACCTCTTTTTTTCAACGAAGATTGTATACAGGAGCAGAGTTAGTTACGACAAGCACTTTATATTTGATAAAGTAGATTCAGATGTCATATACAGGGTTGGGAAAAAGTTACTTCATAAAAGTAACTTGTTATCATTACTGTTCTTTTTACTGAAAAAGCAACTTATTATTGTTGTAAATATTTATAACTGATTTAAAAAAGTTAACTTGTTAATATTACCATTATTCAAAAACTAACGAGTCGTTATAATTTTTGTTACATTTTTCTCAAATTTTGATAATCTTTTTTTAGAGTAGTATATCTAATTGTTTATTTTACTAATTGAGCAATCAACACGAGGTCTATAGCAGTTGTGGTTAATAGTAACATAGTAAAAAAAACTCGTTTTTGCACGTTCCATACACATATTGTACAAAGTAACGATTATATTCGCTATCGTTACCAAAGAAATGTAACTGTGTTACAAATAGAGAAATGTAAAGTCGTTACACACTCGTTATTAAAAAAAAAGATATTATATCGGTAACGACGTTACAAGCAACGTGTTACTTCTCAATCCACGTTTATAATAGATATAATGTATTTTAATAGATAAATAAAACAATATTAAACATCAATATTTTACAATTTTCAAAAAACGTATTCACTACCGGTAAGTTTCCCCGACCGACTGTCGGTAAATTTCCGGAAGTTGGGAAGAATCGAGCTTTTCACAAGGTAACTACTATCCCAGAAACTTGCAGAAACGCCAGCATTCGATAAATTTAAAACGAGATTTATCGTATGTTGAGGGGTGCATTTTATCATTGCCAGTGTAAATAACAAAAACAGTTTAGTATCGAATGTCGATTACATCTGTACAATTAATAATTCTTTCGTTTTCAATAATACAATTTTTCAATAATACAATTTCTTTGTAAAATGTAACTAGAAGAATTACTTTAACTCTTTGCAAAAGTATCTATTTTTCTTGTATTAATTACGCAAAGAAATTTATTTTATAATTTCACGAAAAGAAATAAAAGTTCTTTCTTCTGAGAGAGTTTATAATTCTAGCTTGTTTTTCAATTTACAAAGTTTTCACAAAGATATTTTTTGAATTAATATGTCTGCTTGGGGCAACGTATAGAACTATTTGTAATTCAAAAGAAAAAACAAAGTTGTTGTGTGTGCATAAGGTATAATTATTCTGTCTCAGTAAAATCTCAGTAAAAGTCATGCTGTAGAAAACGTGTGTGTGTGTGTGTGTGTGTGTGTGTGTGTGTGTGTGTGTGTGTGTGTGTGTGTGTGTGTGTGTGTGTGTGTGTGTGCGCGTGTGTGCGCCACAGTAATACTAGTGCACTAGTGAAAACGTCCGAAAAATTGAAGTTGTTGTATTATTCAACAGATACCAAGTAATGTGAGCTATGTTTGGAATACGAATTCTCTATTCAATTCATATATTTAATCTTGACCTGGGTTAATAGCTGTCGGTGAACATGTGATACTGCGTCGCTGTAAGCTTACGTTCTACCAGCTGGCTCCGACTCGTTGGTATTCACGATGGTCGTAATCGGTTTTATTGATACTTCCCCCAAAGAGAGATTTAAGCGGCTTATAGGCGCGGATAAATCCCCGGAAGCTCGTCAAAAATCATCAGCGAACAAAAATTAAATTTGAAAAAACTAGGTTCAATTTTTCGATAAATTTATCAAGATTGCGCTCTCTTTTTCTTTCTCCCCCCCCCCTCAAACATACTTCCTTTTTCTCAAAAATTCTTGATTTATGCTTCATCAATATTTTCCAAAACAAATTCTCATTTCCATTTCTGCATTCTATTCTAGACGTAATATGGTTTACAGAATAATTTTCAAAAAAATCAATGAAAATATAATTTTATGCATATTTACACGTTATTATTTATAAAATAAATATAATTAAACATAAACACTTAACAACTAAAAATATAATATATTTTACATAATCCGGATTAGAATAAAATTCTTAATATAAATTTTGTAATAATATGCATATATACACGTGTAATTGTATATAAATCATAAATTATATATTGAATGTATGAAATAATTATAATGTAATAGTTAATGCAATATAGTTGTGTAAAAAAGTATTTGTAGCGGTAAAATCAACGTAAAACATTTCATATATATAATGTTCATATAAAGTGGTATGATAACCACGTGGACGGGAGCAGCTAGATTACAAATAGTTAAACCGGATTGATTCAACATGTTCGCGGTATGTGCGGATAATCTTCAAATCGATAGGTCTTTATAAGCCGTTAATTAATTTTGCATGCTGAATTTCCCGTTGAGAGCGTCGCGGACATTGCGGTCTATAATTATTATTACCTTCGATACAATTCGTTCTCTGCATATGCAGACTGTATCGTGAAATTACGATAACACAATTGTCACACGAGACAGCGTCATTTCAAGCGATATTTTTTGAAGTTCAAAAAATGGTTAATAGACTCGAAAAAAAACAAAAATTACAAAATAAAAATATTTCAAAAAAATTATTTAATTATTTACGCATCACTGCGTTAATAGAAAAGTGACATATCTCAAAATTACTAACTTTTTTGCTAAAGTAAAGCATTTTTTAAAGTTCTGGATTAAAATAACGTTTCAATTTGGAGAGTGAATATGCAATGTTTATAATTTTATTTTTTTCCATTATACTTTCAATTATATTTGTTATATATTCAATTAATGTATTTTTTAGAAAACTATGTCATGAGTTTTTGAAATTCGAACCCAAGTATAAATTTCATTTCCTGTAACATTTTTTCCATATAATAAGCAAATGAGTTATAAATATATCGTTTTTCCATATAAATATTAGTCTAACTCGATTTTTTTTCATCTCAAAACGTTAATTTTTTATTCGTATTACTTTTCTATCAATGCAGCGATATGTTAATCATTTTGATGATTATAATAAATTATAGTCATAAACTATTAACGATACAGCATACAAAAAGATGGAAAATATAATACGTATAAAATCTACTAATTTAATTGTAAGCTAAAAGTGTAATTTCACAGCGTTCGTTCCGAGTCGCTGCTTCCTCTTTGCTTCGCAAGACACCCAGATGTAATGCTAATGTAGCATGCTTTACGAATCTCACTGTCATGATACTTGGACTGACTGCATAGATCTTTAGAATTATTATGCCGTAACAGTAACATTTAACTTTAATGAACAATAATACGTTTATATCACTCTCTACAGTTCTACACGCTTCAGAATAATAATATTAATAAATTCTACATCACGTACATTTGGATTATTTCAAGATATCTAAACATTAAACATTAAAGCACGTGTCATACTAATACATATACATGTATATCCATCTACCTTAATGCAATTAAAAGCTTTCATTTTTTTAACTCAACCATGACTAAACGCTATTGATATTGAAATATTCTACTGATTTCTATATATATTTGTGAATACCATATCTGATACTGAATGGTGAATGATATTGTACACATTGTCATTAAAACATGAATGTTTTTGCGTTCGGACTGCACGCGAGCTCTCGAGATAATGTTGCTCCTAGTAGCGAACACAGCAATTTGTCACGACTTGCTTCCCGACGAACGATTTAAAAACAACATTTTTCAATGTGCAACTTAGCTGAGACACTGCAGCAGGAGATAATGGCAAAATCGAATATCGCTGTACCTCACGGAAGTGAACAGTAATAACGATTTTATGAAAGTTTAATGAGACCAGAATTTCCACCAGGAAATGGCATTTTCATTCGAAGCGAGTCATTTGCAAGAATAGAGAAGAATCTGCGAGATGCCTTGTTAAAACGTTAACTGCCCTGTTAAAACGTTAATTATTATTGTTATGAAAATGTTAACGATAACCGGCAACAAATGCAAATAGTGAGTCTTCGCATAAATGTAAAAATGCTTAATATTGTATGTATACGTATGTATACGTGTATCTATTATATGTAATGTAACAATTCTTGAAAACTATATTGCAGATAAAGAAACATA